AAGAGCCAAGTCATGGTCATAGTCGACCGTTTTAGTAAGTATGCAGTTTTTGTTCCCTTGCCCGGAGAGGCACTTACAGATTTAGTAATACAGAAGTTCTTTGAGTTTTGGGTTAGTGAGAATGGAATCCCATTGTCAATAGTTAGTGATAGGGACAGTCGTTTCACCAGCCAGAACTGGCAAGAACTAATGAGAGTCYACGGATCTAAGTTGTTAATGTCGTCCGGCCGTCACCCAGAGACTAACGGTCAGACAGAACARATGAACAAGATCCTACAGCAAGTTCTGCGCATGTACATTAGACCAGATCAGATTAACTGGGATGAGATGTTGCCTAAGGTAGCTAGTGCATACAACAACAGCGTGCATCTATCCACCTGCTGCACCCCCAATGAGTTGCACAAGTCCTTCAGACTGCGCAGACCGTTCGAAGGACTGAACCGGGATCAGATTCACAGATTACCACCTGGTACCAGGGAGTTTGCGATACAGCACGAAAAGGATTTAGCCACTGTTGTTGAGAACCTACGGAATTGTGTTTCATGCTTCAAAGCTGTTGCCGTGTATCACTAGTCAACAGTTTCCTTCCAGGAGATCCATGATTCCACCGGATATGGATGGAAGCTATGACATAGAGGGCATTGTAGAAGAGGATGTGTTTAGGACAGGAGGTAGAGGTCGTCCCCAGAAACAGTATAAGGTCCGGTTTGCTTATCAGGAACGGGAAGACGACCGCTGGTTCACGAAAGCAGAACTTCTAGAGACCGCTCCCGACATAGTCAGGGGCTATGAGCGTGACAAGAAAGGTAAAGGTCCTGCCTTGGACTAAAATTTTCTCGGAGGACCTCGAATTTAGGACGGCGGGAGTGAAACGGTTTTCACCTTTTAGTAGTAGCGGATGCAGTACCCAGGGTTCGATCCCTAGACCTCACCCTACCCATGTACAGTATCTGTGTAGACCCCGAGAATTGAACCTGTGACCTGTGTGTTCGTAGGCAGTTGGTAGACCTGTCGTAGGTCCATAGATAGCAGGGGTTCGATCTGTAGGTCTTTAGCGTAGGAGTCTTAGTGAGTTCTGGAAGCTTAGCTGTAGACCTTCTAGAAGGTAGGCAAGTGGGCAAGTGGTCAAGTGGTGAGGCAAGTGGTGGAC